AATGGTAAAATTTAGACAACAAATTATTTTTAAAAAGTTTTTAAGATGTCATATCTTCTTTTTTTCCTGTCATTTGGTGATTTGAATGCTTCTGATCAAAGTTGTTCAGCCACTTGTCACTATTATTCTTTGTTAATCGTTAATTAAACACCCTTTGAGTTAAAAGAATTCAGTTATAAACTTTTATAACCTTGTTCTGATGATTTTTCTTTGAAAATTAAGGTTATAGGGCCTATGAGGTCTGCTCTATATTGTGCTAAAGGTTTTTCAAAGCCAGTTCACCTGCCCTTAACGTACCTTTCAGCAGAAGGGGATATTTTTTAATCATCTTGAAATATTCAGGCACAAAAATGACAGGCAAAATCGATTTCGACTTCAATGTTTCTTTCATTGACTCCTTCTGTTTCAGTTGAAGAAAACATTCTGTTTCAAAGCAAGCATTTCAAAAGAATATTTTCAGTCTTGATCCAGCCCATCTCCCAGTGTGTCTACAGGTACAGCAATTAAAATAAGCTATTGGAGCGTGGGAAAAATCCCATCATTTTTGCATTAGTCTCTTTGATAACTTGGGCTTTTGTAGGTAAAATAACTTTCCATCAGAGTAAGTACAGGGTGGATTCTTCCTTACCATGATCATTACTTGGTCCTTGGCATCTAAGGACCCTTTTTTAAAACAATTGGATTTCCTCAGCCCCAGTACTTTTAAACTGCTAACTCAATCAAAGTGAAAAAAACATGTTAGCTTATTTGACTGGTGCAATTCATGAATCATTTTGGACTCATGGCAATGGGTTTCATGCAAGTCAAATTCTTGAAAACACAAAAATATTTTCCTGATATTATGATATGCCTTTATTTGAATCTATATCCAATACAGCTGAGACTGGTGTGACTAGTAGGTACCAGGCAATGAGTAATGTTGCTTTGATTAGTTTAATTGCTTATGACTCAGCTGAATTAGGCTAGTACTGTTCCCATACAGAGTCATACTCACTTGTTTTATGGAAGCTAAAAGTAACTGTGCTAAGTCTCCATTCTTACAGCGCACATGTCCCTTTATTTGGTTTCTCAAACAGTGCTTGTGACCCAATCTCTCCATTTCAAAGAATGCACTAAACCAGCAAGCTTAATGAATCAATTTATTTGGAAGGAAAGCCATGTTCTCCTGGGAACATCTTGTTCTTGGCTTTCCCAAATGCGTTCCTTCTTTTTATTTCATTATATGAGAGCTTAAAGAGGGGTTGCCATGTTCTTTCTCCAGTTATTCTGCAACCATGCAACAAAGGAAAGAGACCTACCATCTATCCTAGATGACAACCCAACTCTTACTTATTCCTTTAACAAGGGAAAGCAGAGTTAATTTAGTCTTGTATTTAAAGACTAGCAGGAGAAGTTATCCACTTTCCCCTTCACTACAGGTGTCTGCTATAGCAATAAGTGTCTTAAAGCAGCAGGTCTGGACAAGCTTAAAAGGTGCATGGCATGAATTCTTTTCTTTTTGAAAGTTTGAGAAGAACTGGGGGATGGTGGGGAACCTTAAGTACGTGACAGTCAGAAATATTATATTGCAGAATCATGAAGATGCAGTACTAGGGAGAACATTTTTCTATATTGAGACAACAAGCATCTTGTAAGAAAGATGCTTGTTTGTGGGTCTGCTTTTTGCATTGATATTGGTTCACCTATTTATTTTTTATTTGTTCTAGAAACATTGGAAATATTTTAATATTTATGCTGATCACTATGAGAAAAAAATTTGCTTGTACAGAATAGGTGGAATGCAGGTAATTATCTCTGTGTCAGCAGAAGGTAGCAGATGATTTTCTGCAGGAAGTATAAAAAGAAGAGGCTTTTTTACTTGGACATATCTGTAAAAGCAAACCTTCTGATATAAGCAAGTCTGTCACAGGTTTATCACTTTTCCTCTTCTTTCAGCTGCTAAAAAAAAAATTGAAAAAGAAACAAGATGCAACAAGAGCAGTTCAATCTTTTAATAGCGGAAAATCAATCAAATGTAGAAAATTCAACATCTTTAATACTGCATCACAAACATAGAGTGACAGTTCATTGTCTTGGTATGATAAACTCCGATGTCAGTCAAGTCTGTATTTGCAAAATAATAAGCACAAGTTTTAGTTGCTGCTGTTGCATTGCTATTTTTATCAATTTCTTCACATAAAAGACAGTGTGTTTACTTCCTTGATGCAGAACATAATTGTTTGGACATTATCTAGCATTTTACAATTAATTTTACTCTCTTATCTCCTGTCTACCTTTGTCAGCTTTGCCAAATATTTCCTCAGAGAGTTGGTGCTTTTCCACACATAAATCTCCTGCAATCTGCAGAGTCCAAACTTCTGTCTTTTTTTGCATAAACAAAGTGATGTTAACAAGTCAGTGGACAAAGACCAGTGCTTTCAATGATTGTATAACTAGTATGAACTGTTGAGTTTTGATGCCTTAGTATCTCCTTTCCCAGGCAGATATTTACATGCCAGGGTAATCCAACATAGCAAAATATGAGTAATGCAGAGGAATAGATATCATCAAGGCTATAAATGTACAGAGAATTCAAAACATTAAACACTGTGAGTTATTCTTCGTGGAAGAGTATAGATTTCTAAAATGCAACAGCAAATCCCTTAATTAGTTCAGGAATTAATGCTATTTGACTAATGAATAATAATTCTTGGAACATGGTGTAAAATTCCATTGAATGGTACTGTGAGAAAATAAATGGTGTCATTTGAAATTTAAACTGCATGGAGATCAGCCCCTTTAAGCACGAGTTCAGATCAGTTTAAATATGTCTCCAGTGTGTAGGGTAAAAAGCTTGACAGGGTAAGCACAACTGATCTACTGCTTCTATAATGGATTGCAGAGTAAGAGGCTGATGGTTAGTTTTGGATGTTTTCGTTTATGTTTAATTTTCCCACATTGGTGTCTTTTACCAGACATTTCATTAGCTACTTAGATTATAGCAAAAAGCTTCACTAAAGGGAGCCTCAGTTTCCTGCTCAGCTTTTTGCAGAAAGATACTAAGTACTACACATACCCTGTTTGCTTAACATTATGTCTGCATAAGATTTTTTTGCTACTTGTTTTCTGAGTGGGACAAGTTAATGGTAATGTTCTGAATACAAGTACAGAACAGCATAAATCTTTATGAACAATGTGCAAGTGTGAATTCACCCTGGGATTAGGATGTAGCTTTATTTTTGGTACCTATACATAAAAGGCATGAGGAACTAAGGCTCTTTGAGTAATTGCATGGGTTACACAGTTGTGGATAAAAGCAAATCAACTTTTCAGAATCATATGGTGGTTGTTAGCTGGAACATATTACTTTCTATGCAGGGAGCTTCTGACAGCATAGGTAATTCTGTACATATGGAAATAACAGGATATTTATCTCAGTTTTCTGCAGCTACTGCTCTTACATTTCAAACAGTTGTAAAAAACACTGTCAAGGGTTTAACTGGAAGAAGGTTCTTCCAGAAGAGACTCCTTAAGAATCTGAAATATTTGATACAATTTCAGGTGATTTCCCTTAGTCCAAGAGAAAAATGAGTGCAAAAAATCAGGTGTTGTGAAAAAGCATATTCCTTTTTAATCTGAGAAAGCTGTGTGAAAGATTAAACTTTGACTTATGAAAATAGCCTGGAAAAATAGCAGTAGGTATAAAAAGTAGCAGATTACTATCTGAATAGGCATCACATCCCAGTTAATAAAGTTTGTATAGAGTATTTCAAGTGCTCTAAGATAACAATGAAATTTAAAATATAATTTGTATTAGAATTTTTTTTTGTAACAGCATCCATTAAGTCAAATGATAGCTATAATAAGAAAGTGATATTCCTTTTTGAAAGTACTTCAAAAATGTGAACTGAACAAATTTCATTCTAGAATAATTTAAAATCCTCTCCATAGTATACTCCTGGGAAGAAATTGGTCTTGTATGACAAGAAATCTGACTTGGCACCCTGCAATCCGTTACAGAAGTGGTAGATCAGTTGTGCTTACACTGGAAAAAGTTGTGGTGGCAGAATTTGTCCCTCAGGTGCACTGGTGCAACTGGTAAGGCATCAGGTAACTGCAAATGTAGGTAATTACAGTACAGAGAGCTGAAGGACAGGGGACAGGTAGACGACTCTGGCTGCCTTGGCTGTCCCTCATCAGCATCACTCTGCCTTTCCCCTCAGCACTGCTTGAATCAAGTCCTGTGTTCTGTGAAACTACTTCCTAAAAGGCATGGGCTTAGCAGAACAATATCTGTATATGTAAACTTCACATTAATAGATTTTAAGCAGTATCTCCACATTTTTTGGACCAGATTGACAACTCTTCCAAAGGATTCATAATGGCATCTTTATGTTGTCTTACTCATTTTTCAGCAAAACTGTGTCACAGATTTGATCTTAATTGTCTTGCTCTTTGATCCTTTACCAGTTTACACCTAGAAACTGCTTTAAAATGAGAATTATATCAAAAATATATGTCTGATTTGTATAAAAGGACCTCTCTATCTGGGTCTAAAATTTCAGCACAAATGAATATCACAGAATGGTTTGGGTTGGAAGGGACCTTAACGATCATCCAGTTCCAACTGCCCTGCCACAGACAGGGATACCTGTAACTTATCTGGTATATTGCTATCATTAATTAATCTCTAGTGCAAAGAGAAACAATCCTTTAAAATAGTGGCCTTAGGTCATTTGTCTTGTATGACTAACCTTTTGATCTTATTAGGAGGATGAATGGGGAGGAATTACCTGTTTGCTGTGTATCAAAGGAAATTTTAATTAGCTAACAATATAACAGTTTTTTGCCAAGTTTAACAATTATTTCATATACTAATTGTAACTGAATGTCCAATGAACTAATATGTATTTGTTGCTTGATACTCACATTCAAATGTAAATGAGTATTTATAAAAGCATAACATCAAATATCTTTAAACACATCACAAAGTAAGCATATTTTTTTTTGTTCCCATTTAGTCATCTGTGACTCTTTGGAAGATCATGTTTCTGGAACTGGGGTCAGGTGCCCCCTGGGCTACTTTCCGTGTGGCAACATCACAAAGTGTTTGCCCCAGCAACTTCACTGTAATGGTGAGGATGACTGTGGGAATCAGGCCGACGAAGAAAACTGTGGTACGTGGTTGAGACTTTTCTCTGTGTCTAGCACCTGTAGTCACTGAAACCCATGCAGCACTCATACAAAACAGAAGACTAAAGAGTGTTAGGAACAGAAATGTAACGTGCTTTGCAGAAGATGCAGTAGGTCTGCTTTAGCTAATAAAACCACCCAACAAGTCATTTGTTAGGTGAGAAGAATGGATCACATTTTTCTTTGTATATGGTATCAGTTTATCCAGTTTTATCCCTGCTTTGAACTTGTTTGCACATTTTGTATGTGTACAAATGGATGTATGTGATCTGTCAAAGGTCGCTGCTGAGAAGTAAATGTGTGCTCCAACATTTATGTAAAGCTTAATGTGACTTAACGTGGGAAACATAATTTAGAGGAATTGTTAAGGGTTTTCAGAAATCACTTATGTCCTTATTTGAGAGAAACACATCTGTGTGAGTGTACTACACAAGCTGCACTACCAGCAGGCTTTGGGTTTTGAAAATGTAAAAATTTCAGGGAATACACACAGTCAGGTCATTTCTGCATGTTGTTATGATCCTTATCACTTCTGGCCTCTCTGGATGTTAGCTGTGAGCTTGACTTGGCTTGTCAAGTCCTGATCCTACCCTACTGTAAACTGGGTAGGATCAGGATATAGGCTTTGCGTGGGCACTTACCCGTCCACGCTGCTTATTTGTGAGCATGGCCCTGGCACAGCTTTAGTTTGTGCTGAGCCTCATCTCTTCCACAATGTTTAGATACAGCTTAGAGGTGGCACAGTCCTGGGATAGTCTGGAAAGGGGCTCCTATATGTTGAGAGAAGAGAGCTTGGCCATTTGGTTGTGATCTAAGACCACGGGGAGAGAAAATCAGCCCTGACACATTTTATTTATTGGTACTGTCATCTTACTAACAACCTGCATATTTTCAGAGGTACTGATCCATGGTAGATGGGGAAACTAGGCTTCCTATTCCTTAGTAGTTTGCCTGTAGCCATGGAGGACAGCCAGGTGCATGATGCCCTGCCTCACACATTGCCTCCAGCTCTCTGGACCCAAGCAGGTGAACTGTTTACCTGTCCCAGCCAGGCATGTTGCCATCAGATCTGGGTGAGAGGAGTAGGATTTCGTAGTTTTATGTCATTTACTGATACTATAAACTTACTTTCTGTTGTAATTAATCAAAATCCTGAACAAAAATTGCTCATTCTGTTCTTTTCCTGTAATCATCTTGGCATAAAGTGGCAGAAATTGCTGATGGTGTTGCCCTCTTATGTTTAAGAAGTCCAAGGTCCATAAACCATGTTTTATCCGTGTTTAATTTCTGTATAATACCACAAGGTCTACTGTACAAGGACATGCTGAAAGCATACAGCTTGATACAATGCCAATTAGGATATACACAGTTTTGTAATGGGAAGTACAAGACAGTATAGAATCACAGAATCATTTAGGCTAGAAAAGAACTCTAAGATCATTGAGTCCATTAATCAAAGAGAGCTCTTCACTTCTAATCTGTATTATTACTGATACAGAACCGAGGTATTCTTGGATTACTGAAAACAAATTTCAAAAATTCAATTAGGACTAACATGGATTGGCAATGAGCAGGGACAGTGTTGCAAGAAGGGATTTATTACTGAACCCTGAAACAACAAGCAAGCTTCAAGTCATTAGTATTGCCTTAGTGTTCTTCTATAGGAAGGAACATACAAGACAATTCAGCTGCAATATTGAATCCTCTTCTGTGTCTAGTAATTCAAGAATGAGTTAGCCTTGATTTCTGAAAACCTAAATTGCAAAAGATGAAGAGTCATTGTATTGACTTATTGGGAAAACTATACTATTGATGTTTTTCTCATATCTTGACCCCCTATTCTTATTTAGAAATGTATGCCATGTATAACAGATTAATGTAATATTCAGCAGTAATATTTTCTCAAAAATTGGTATTGCAGTCAAACTTCATTGTTCGGTTAAAGGAAGAGTCACTTCCTTTCCTGAAAATATGGAATGTCCTGATGAGATTTTCTGCAATGCCTCTACACTGTAGTAAGTGTGGGGATCTTTGTGAGATAACTTAGTTTTGTGACTATTCATCTTGCTTAAAATACAAGAAAGGAAGCCTCAGTGATTAGCTCCTGAAACAAAGAAACAATGTCTTTTTTTTTTCCCCTGAAGTTTCCCAGGACCACCTCAGCATGACTGGCTTGTGTCAGCAGTTATATCTGGCTCCTTCTACCCATTTTTTAAATTTACAACTAGTTTTCAGTTGAAGTCATTACTCCTGGTTACAGAAAAGAAATTAAAAATTAAATTATTCCAGTACAGTAATTGTTTCATGCAGTACCATTAAAAATTTTAATCTCATCCACAAGGTATTCTAATTAAGTAGTTCAACTTTTAAATTCCTGAACACTTTTTCTTCAATTTGAATGAGAACTTTGAGGTGGCAAATCTACAAGGTTCAACTCAACAAGTGTGGGAAGGAAAAATCAGTGTAGACCCTCAAAGGAATTAAGAAATATTTTTTTTTTTTTTTAATGCATGTATCTCAAACAAAGCTAGATAAACCAACTGCTTTACTAACAATTTCTTTGGTAATGATAAAGCACAGTAAAACCAGTATTATAATATAAGGAAAAAGAAAGTAAAATTATGTCACAGACTGTAGTTCTTCCTGTGTTGGAAAGAAAAATATGTTGAAGAAGAAAAGGAAAAAAACCACACTTCTTTTGAAAATATAATACTGCTGTTTGAAAACAAAACAAAACAAAAAATACAACAGATGCTCTAAACACAAGAAAATTCAATATCCAACCGTTCAATAGAAGCCCTTAATTGTGCTGAATATTAGCAGCAACTGCAATTACTGAAATAACAGTTATAAGAAACATCAGTGAATGAAATAAGAAGAGAAGCAACTAGCATAAAAAGCACATGTAGGTCTTTCAAGAGAGTTACTTTATAAAACTGTTTGAATGCCCTTGAAACAAAAAGACAGCAGTGCAAAAGAGACCAACATTATAGGAGCCTCTGAAAATAACGAAACATGTCACTCCAACTATCTTGTAGCAAGTCCATCCCTTTTTTCTTTTATTTAGGAAATTTGTCTCGTTCCGCTCTTCATTCCTATAGAAACATTTATTGTTGTAATCTTCGAGATAATTTGCAGTACTAATCCTGTTTCAGGCACTGTGTGTGCCTGGTAACAGCAAAACATCATTATAAATATTTCAAACTAAACCAAATCCTCATTGAGAGATGTGTGCTCAGATGTGCTGTAATCACTGTTCATATCCAGCCTCGGCACATAAAGATTGGCTTTGTGGTGTTCTCTTCAATTCTGCTTCCTCTTTCACTTCCACCATCCTCTCCATGTCCAAATAATAAACACAAAAGTAAGGTCCAGAGAAGTGAAATGACCTCAAATTACGACCATAGGTAGAGCTGAGAAGAGACTATATCTCAGACTGCTGTGTTAGTGCTTAACCTCAGGGTGTGGACATTGGGAGGCTCTCCTTGATCTATTGCTAGATAACCTTAAATGTACATGGAAAATACAATCTTATCTTATTAACTTGAAAACATAGTCCATCAAGTAGAAGTGAGCATCTCTGCAAATCTGTCATGATAATAATATTTTTAAATAAAAATAATTTATTTAAAGTTTTGTAAATTGTCATAAAGCTCAAGGTTTTGAGGAATTTCCTTTTTTAGACTTTAGTATGGCAGTAAATTTTTCTCTGACATTCTTCTTCATTGTCATCCTTGCTGAAGCACCAAGTTCTTAATTAGGCTGAGGGCACCGTGAAGCAGTTTAGCCTGTATCATGCTTCACCTGGAGTTTTTTTTTATCTGTCAAAAAAATTCAAAATGTGCAGGGAAAAAAAAATATAGCAATTCCAGCATCCTTCTGTGCCCAAGCTTGTTTAAGGATCAAGTTGGCAAAGCAGAGGAAGTTTGATACTGTTTTGTCCTCCTGAGACTAGATTTGATTTCAAACATAATGGCTCCTGGCTAATTTTCCAAGTAAGAACTTTTCCTATTTGTTTACAGCTGTAAGATTTGATTCTGTAGCTACTTGGAGTTTATAGATGGGAGGTTAGAGCATTTGTTTACTTCATCAATTTTTAAACATGAGCAGGAAGGATAAATACTAGGCATAATCACAAATTCTGCTCTCCTAATGCTATGGCAGTGTTGACATGGGATTTGTTCCTAAAAGAAGAAACTAATATTTCTTACATTGAAGACATTACAGCTGCAATGTTACTGTTAATGTAGTCTAAACAATCTCTAGGCAAATTCTTTGACGCCCAGTGGCATAGTAAAAGTGCATAGTAAAAGTCCCAAGTACAAATTCATGGAAAGAAGTGTTTTGGGATCTTGCTTTGACAGTGATGCTTAATGATAAAACAAAATTAAGATTAGCAACAGTAGATTAAAACAGCAGTTGAATAATGAAAAACAAAAATAACAAAATAAGAATATTTTTTATGTCGTTTTTTACTGAGCCTACAGGTGTTTGATTATCTCAAGGTGCATATTTGTTTAGATGAACAAATTCTGACACATGAAAAATTGAAAAAAAAATTATGAAAAGTTAAATTGCAACATAAATGTACTCCATGCATTTGGACAGAAGTAAACTAACATTGCCAGTAATCACCCATGGTTGGTGTTTGTTTTTTTTCAAAATACCTACTGAGTCACTTTAGACTCAGCAGTAGTACACACACACACAAAATAATTCTTTAATCTGCTCCTAATAAAGTATTTAAATTTTAAAACTTACACTTCATTTTTTCTTTTTTCTAAGTTCTCTGATATGCTGTCTACTTAGAGGACTGAATGAGCAAGTTTTTGTCCTAGATAAGGGTCAGCTTTCCCTGAATAAAATTATCCTACTATTACATGCAATGATAAAAGCCTAATATTCTCAGTCTAACAACTTTTGTGTAATTATCTCTTCTGGATACAACACTGAGTCAGTTACCATTTCGTAGTCATAACATGCT